TCTCTCTCTCTCTCTCTCTCTCTCTCTCTCTCTACTCCTACCCTCCACGCCGGAATACACAGACTGCCACGAACATTGAAGAGTGGGAAAACAGTATGTAACACTAACACAGAAATAAAAGAAAACACGAAAAAGATCTTCAATCAACTTCAAGTATTGTAATTCTGGGTGTAAAGTCTTTTTTTTGCATTTACAGTAAAGATTGTGTAATATTGAAAAGGCACTTTCTGGATTTGAGTTCTAATGACATAGACACGTTAGCATTAACCTGTAGATAATATTACAGGGAAAACAAGAAATTACATTTTAATTTGCCGCAATCCTTTTATAATCACAACATTTCCATCCCATCTGACAGAACAACGTATCTGACTATACTGATTTCTTTTATTTTTGGTTTCAATACTTTGTTATATAAGTCTTGTCTACATCGCTCATTTTTTTAAAGCACAGCGGCGTATCTACATCCGACGTTGTAGTTTTCAAATAGGTAAAGCTACTTAAGTTCATAGTTGCCCACCAGTATGAAAAAGAAACCCAACAAATAAAAGAAAGGTGGTAAATACGCTTTAAAGGGTCTCAGCACGGAAGTCCGTTTTTGAATTGGAAAATATACATTCTCTTGGGAGAAAAAGGGGGGGGGGGGGCATCTTTGGTTGTTGTTTTTGTGGGGTTTTTTTTGTGTTCTAGTATTCAGTATATCGTATAACAAAGAAAGTTTTGGATTGGAACCCACAGAGTAAGAGATCAAGGGGAAGACCGCGTGGAACCTGGAGAAAAATCACATAAATCGATGTACAGAAAAGTGGGAAGACTTGGAATAACATCAAAAGGCTAGCCCAGGATAGAGAAAGATGGAAGGTGTTTGTCCGTGGCCTATACCCTGGTGCAGTGTGAGAAAGGCAATGATGATGATGGTATTGCTCCTTATGGACTTGTCGATGCTATAGATAACTTGAGAACTTGAAAAACTGGAACTGCAATTAATAATAATGAGAACAAAGGCGAAAGTTAAATTGTGTTCGTAACTATGGTTAGCTATTATGAGCATGAGTTAATTGAATGCTGAACAAGGTGTGTTGAGGGGTGTTTTTTTGGGGGGGAGGGGGTTATTTGGACAATGCCCACCATCTTGACCCCTGCCCCCTCTCGTGTGGCTATAGAATCTAGTCGGTTTTGTTTTGTGGTTGGTTTGTTGTTGTTGTTGTTGTTGTTGTTGTTGTTGTTGTTGTTGTTGTTGTTGTTGTTGTCTTTTTGTTTTTTTTTGTTTTTGGGGGGGGGGTGAAAAGTTGGCAACTATGTGAATTATTGAGTTATTATAGGCCTATTGATGATAAGCGTCAAGAATATTTTAATGTTTTTCTCTAAATCCTGAAATGAGCAGATACATTGGTCTGTGCAGCCTTAATTGGATGGCACAGTTACACTCTGGTAAACTTGAAAAGATTGTCAGTAAGAGCTATTGCTCTCTCTCTCTCTCATCATCATCATCACCTGGGTTGTTACTGAGTTGTCAAAGACGAGTATGGCAATGGGAAGAATAGGGTGTTCATCACCTTGTTAACCTGGAAAAAAAACAACAACCCACAAAACAACAACAATAACAACAATCTCAACAAAAAAACAACATCAACCCCCCCCTAATAAAAAATTAAATCATAAATGATTAGCACCCAACCTTGAAGATGTCATGTACAACATAATAACGTATAATATGGTGTTTATAAAGTATACAAATCATATAATCATATCAATGTATGTATGTATGTATGTATGTATGTATGTATGTATGTATGTATGTATGTATG